TTTTTTTTTAAATTCCGTTACTTACTAATTTTTTTAATACAATTTGAGTATAATATTTATTTAAATAAACAAAATACTTATAAATAATAAATATATATACGTACCTAATACCCACTCATATTCGTCACCGGTAAGTGTCCCTGGGGAAGTTGAATTGAATGTGTGACTGTGTAGTTTACTTCGGGGGTTTTCTCGTGGGCTTTTCTGAGTTAAAAAATTTTACTGGGTTTTCAGTTTTTTTGGGTAATTTAACTTAAATGGATTGGGCATTGATGTGAACATGTGAATCAAAATGTTAAGAAAGCTAAGGCCCAAAAACAAGGATGGTTTCCTCGTCTTTAGCAGAACCAGAGGTTGCACTACGTTTGGATTGCTGTGCAATGCATCAAGACAAAAATTCTTCAGCCTAAGAGGATACCATGTCAACTGTATCTACATTACCACAATGAGACGTAGTAAGGTCATCATGATGAGCATCTTTGGTTCTTGTATTACCTCTCTGACATGCCAGCCTATTAATAGTCCTTGCCCACTAAAAGTAGTCTTACTACATCCACGGCTATACTGCTAATCTTTGCCCTGGATCCATCAGCCTTCTCTGAGCTCAAGCTCCTTTGCCAATACCAGCTCCCAATCCTCCCTTGTCCTATGGTATATATTTGGAGGGAAGGGACACGACTCATGCCAGAATCCTATTGCTAGATTTTGAAAGGCACCTTAAACAAAAGAGTCAAACAAGTGATTGGGGAAGAGGGCAAAGGAGAAAAGTTGGAGCCAGAAGAGCGACAGTGGAGGAAGAGTATGCAAAGTAGGTAGGAAGAGGTGACGCAAACTGCAGAGAAGGAAACTCGAAATTGACGAGGTTTTGGGCCCGGATTGGATTCAAAAACCAGACCAAAAAAATACTCGAAAAGAAAAAAATAGTAACAAGAAAAATACGCACGAGTTTAGAGTTTTGATACCATGATTGGAATCAAACCAGAGAGAATATGAAGAAGAAAGGTTATATATGCTTATTGAATAACGACACCAGTCTGTACAAGGTGCCTTGTATATTCTATGATGACTTGGGATTATTCCAGATACACAATAAATGGTATAATACAATTACCTAAAAGACAATATGTACACAATAATTGCATTTATTTCTTGATAGGCAGGAACACCATAATCATGAGGAACTTTATTGTAGGTATCGCCGGTGTGATACCTAAGAAAGTCAGCCTCAGAGAATCCAATTAGGGCCTGCTAGAAGCCAGATGAGTGAGATGAATTCAAAGCCTTCTCCTAACGTGTGTACTCTAGTGTATGGCTTTTGACAATCACAAATTCAGAAAGAAAGAATCTATGCATTCTCCAGGGGACAAACGGCATGATCCAAAAACCAGTCCAAAAAATACCCGAAGAGAAAAAAATAGTAACAAGAAAAATATGCACGAGCCTAGAGCTTTGATACCATGATTGAAATCAAACCGGAGACAATATGAAGAAGAAAGGTTACATATGCTTTGAATAACGACACTACCCTGTACAAGGTGCCTTATATATTCTATGATAACTTGGGATTATTCCAGATACACAATAAATGGTATAATACAATTACCTAAAATACAATATGTACACAATAATTGCATTTATTTCTTGATAAGCAGAACACCATAATCATGATGAATTTTATTGTAGGGTATTACCGGCCAGATGCCTAATATAATTCTCAGAGTTTGCTCCAATTAGTGCCTACAAGAAGCCAGATGACTGAGATGAATTCAAAGCCTTCTCCTAACTGCTTAATGTGACTACTGTTCTGACTTGAAGCCGCTGCATATAAAAGCATTTCTATCCAGACATCCCTAATCATATGCCATTTATTTCTTGAATGCTTTAAAAGTGTGGCTAGATCGGACACTTCCTTCTGCAGCTGTCCAAATATTCTCCCACTGGCATTGCTGTTGGGAGAAAAAATAAATTTTTAGAATGAAATAAAACTTCTTTAATTCTAGCTTGATAATTATATATGAAAATAAAAAATTAAAAACATCAAACCTGGATTGAAGCTTCTTTACATCATCAACATTATCAAGATCTAATTTGCAATCCGGATCCGATGCTTTCTTGCTGCGAAATGGAGAAAAAAAAAAAGAAGGAATTTTAGAACAAAAATACTTAAATTCTAATTTTATAATTCTATGAAAATAAGCAATTAAAAACATCACACCTGGATTCAATGACCTC